AATCAATTGTCTTAATAAAAGAACAACTTCACAAATTGTCTTAAAATACCAGGGAATAACCATCCCAAAAAATCACAACTGCACATAATCACCACCAACGTGAGCAATAAGCTCCATCACAATACCCATCACAGATATTTTCACTTCAATGGCCAACCCTTCTTCATCAAGTTTTTTCTCTTCTTCATTCTCTGTTATCTTCTCTTGTTGTTGTTCATTCTCTTCTTTTCCATTTGCTTTATTTTCTTCTAGTTTCTCCTCTTTTTTTCTTCATTGTTCTCTTCCATCGTCTCTTCTTGTTGTTTCTCTTTTTATTTCGTTTTCTTTTGTTGTTTTTCTTCTTCTGTAGTCTCTCTTTATCAACTTGTTCTTTAAAGTATGCATCAACTGCATCACGATGAAAGTTATAATCCACATCTAATGGAAGAATGTTGTCATCCACTAATGGTGATGAAAAATTGTCATCATCTACTACAAGATCATTGGCTAAGCATTAATACAAATACATTATACTATACCACTAAAAAATATATGAATTTATCGACCTTTATTTTTTTTCTTTTTATTTCTTCTCAACTTCTCCTCTCGTACAAAAACAATGAATCCACCATTGATTGCTCGAGGGATGCAACATGCTCACCCAGGTTTTCATCTTTAGAAGTACTTGGTATAGAATTGTTCTAGGTTGATTAGGAAAGTGTTCGTTTGAATACTCATCCTTCACATGACCTACTGCAGAAGTGAGGACAGTGACACCTTTCAAACTGGCCTTTAAGGCATCAATAATTGTGTCCTTCACTTCATCCGTATATGACTTTAATGTTTTCATATAATTTTATTTCTTCACACTTAGTAGGTATTAGGTACGGATGTACAACCTACAAAAAAAATATAATTAGTACAAGACCTTTACTAATTTACCATTATATAACAAAATAAGTTTGTACCTTTGTATACTTAAATGGTTCACCTTCGATAATGTTGTCGCTCTTTGTCGTGTGTCATTTAAGTAAACGGGAAATTTGCAATGGAGAATCCAATGGCTTCTTTGCGTATATACCAAGATTAGGAAAAACCTCATATCTAAACTTGAAATTAATAAAATAACAAATAAATGTAATCAATTTCATAAATGATAAAAATTACCAGAAATGCCTAGTGAAAGTCATACAAAGCATAAGATGCTCTTTCCTTGTACACATCACATTGTTTCTTCAAAATAACTTTGGTCTTCAAATACTTAAGTGTCAAATCAAAGCATTCTTTTCCCTACAAATAGCTCTTGAAAAACTCTAAATCATTGGTCATCTTAATATGGTTTGATTTTACAATCTTAGATTGATCGTGGGCAAGTAATATTGAGTAGACGAACCAAACTAAAGAGCACTTGAACTTCTACTCCTTATTCAATTTGAAACCCTTAATCAAACTCAACAACTTCGAACCACTAATATTCTTATTCTTGATTACTTCATAGTAAAATTTCTCACCTATGTCAAACAATTTTTATATTTTTATATCGCGGAGTACGCTCCACAATTCAGACCATAATCAATGCAAACACTTTTAAGCCCAAAACATGAAGCCTTATCATTCACACAAAATTATATTTCATGCAACTTTTATCACGATTGACACGAACAACAACATGTAATGAACCATTTGTCCATTAAACTTGTAAAATTCTGAAATATGCCTTACATGACCAAAACAACTACCTTTAAAGTCATTATAATTTTTTTCATTAAGTAAAACATTTCTAAAATCATTATACAAAGTCATTCTTGCTCTCACAGAAATCTTGAATGGAAAAGATCCTAACTCATCCATACACGTAGTGAGATTATAGGACTTATCCGAGATTTCTCTTGCACAAGTTGGCCAGGATAGAGGATCATTATCCTCATCTCCAGTATCTCGGCTATCTTCACTAGTGGACTCGTCTCCACTGCTCTCTTCACTAGACTCAACCTCATCAAAACTCTCCTCATAGTTGTCTATTTCATCCATCGTATCAGAATACGAATCATATTTGGGTTCTTCAACAACAACTTTTTTCTTTTTTGAACACCTTGTTGAAGCTTGAGGTTTAACCTTCCTTTTCTTGTTTTTACCGGGCTTAGGGACAATTTTTTTAACCATACCACCTCTAGTTTTAGCCATAACCACAATAAACCTATAATACTAAAGTAGATCAAAGTCTAATAAAAGAGTGCAATGAAAAATAATGCACAACAAAGAAAACAACAATCCATAACAAAAGTCAATATTCAAGAATACACGGACAAGATACACAATTTCTTTTTTTAAAAAGCAATCAAATAGGGTTAAATATTTATATCCAAACAAAAACGTCATTAGAGACCACAAATATTCATCCTAAACAACAACATGAAGAGAATCATCCAGAAAAAGGATTTATTAAACTACTATAACAAAATAAAAAATCAAATACTACATCCTAAAAAAGAACATGAAATAAAATCATCCCGAAAAATAGTTTATTACACTATTATAACAAAATAAAAAATCAAATACAACATCCAAAATAACATAAAGAAAACTCATCTAGAAAAAATTTATTACACTACTATAACAAAATAAACAACCAAATACGACATCCCAAACAATAACATGCAGAAAAATCATTCAGATAAAGTGTTTATTACACTACTATAACAAAATGAACAATCAAATACTGCTAAAATAACCAAAAACTACCATTAAACTCAAATGAACTTACCAAAGATGAATGTTTTGAACTCGAAGAGGAAGAAACAAATGAAGATTTGACATTTAGGACGATGAAATGGTTGAACACTTGTTTAATGGACGATGAAACGATTATAATATATGTGAAAGAGAATCAATGATATGGAAAAAGAAACAGATGATTTCTTTGCTTTCTCTTGAAACGTTTCGAGAAGTGTATAGGGAAGAGAGGCGGGAGGAAATGATAAGATTACTAATAGAATTGATGTACGTGGAAGAAGAAAAGTTAAGAAGAGGAAATGTCAGAACAGTCCCCAAAAGGTGTCTTTTTGATATATATATATATATATATATATATATATATAATTTTTCGACGTAGGTGTCCAGTTGGGATAGCTATAGCTATGCCCTTGTACAAACATACTTTGAACCATTGACCCTAATACAAACAATAAAAGCGTTAGAGATTTTTTTTTCGAATAAAAAAAACTCAGTTGTGATACTCTAACATCGTATTGCCATCTTCTAAGTCTTGCACCGCTGAACACATCAAAGAATAAAATATCTATCCAAAAGAATCATAAAGCTTGATTTATCGGATTGGAAGCGATCTTTTAAACCTCAAGTAGCGTAGCATAGCGTCACGATACGACATAAATATCACAATTAGATGGTAATTATAAGTTTCTTTTTAATTAACGTTTGAATTATCACCGTGAAAGTCACAACATCAACAATCCGTATCCTGAATAAGACAACCCAATTCATGGGTTTGTCTTTACACTCGCTTTTCACTCAACACATTTTGTTGTTGGGGATAACGATAGAGCAGTGCTGAACGGTTACGGGGTAAATTTGAACAAACCCGCTAAGATTTCAATCTGCTCCACTCTGTCCCACATAACATAATTTGTTGTTTTTATCATGTCCCGCACCGATTCGCATAAACCCACTCCACCTGCCTTACATAATTTCTAAAAATATTAAAATACTGAATACAGTTTGTTTTTACCTTAATAATTCTACTTTATCAATTGCTTCATATGTTTATGTAACTGCTAAAATTAATAGGCTAGTGTAGAACTATAATGCAATTTTATTATACTCTTTTAAATATGTCAGTAACTTTTTTTTTTTGATAATTTTGAATTGATTACATAAAATACTGAATGCTAGTAACTTTATTTTTCTTTCTAGTTTTTGGCCATTCAAAACGGTTTTTTCATAAACTCTTTTGTTCATCATATGCAGTGCCCAAAAGGTGCAAAACTGGTATGAAATGTGTGAATTTATGAATTTAAAATATTCATTTTCAAACCCCAAACCCGCCCCGCCCCACTTGAATTTTAAAAAAATCTATCTAAACCAATCTCGCCTTGCCCCGTCCGCTCCACACCCACAAAAGCTTTGACCTGCCCCACTCCACTCCTGTCTCACCGCATTGCCATCCCTAGTACTTAAGTGGCACTTTCATCAACGTTTTAACCTTAGACAAGGTATTTATGGGCCGATTTGAGTTTTTGTCGTTGATCAAAATTTTAAATAAAATTAATTTAATTATATATATTATTTATCAATTACTAATGTTACACGAAAATAAAATACAAAGTGGAATAATAGAAAAAAACAAATTATTTTGCAAATATAGGATAACAAAGCAACCCATCAACCACCAGTTATGACCTTGAAAACCCGGAAGACTTTTATCCCTTTCATGAAAGGATGATCAAATTCGACTTGAAATGGAGTTTAAGAAACGAAATCAAAATTTGTAATTTTGTGGTTCTAAATTAAAGTTATATATCAAAATTTTATTTTAATCTTGTGATCTTAAACATGTTACATGGAAAGTTAAAATTAAAATATTGCTTTTGTTATATATTTTTTTTGTTTTTCGGCTTAGATTCTAATTGACCTTTTGTTGGACTTTTTTCTTTTAATTTTTTTCACTTTCATAAATATCTATAAGATATTCAAATTATTCATAAAACTTAATATATTATGTATATTTAATAAAGATATGTATATTCTTTTGTTTTGTTTAACTCATTAAGATATTATTGAATTATTTTTTGAATCAAAACCAAATAAAGTGAATTATTTAATCATTCCGATTTAGTTTATTGGATCGAATTTTACCCTCACAGTGAATCTCTACGGTATGTGTGAGTTTTGTAGGTTTACTTGATCCCTTATTATTAATTAAAATTAATAAAAAAGAAGTAAAAGTAAGGTTAAGATAGTTAGAGAGAAGGAGTTCAGTTATATTGTTTAATAGGAGTTAAAGAAACTTTAATTGAGACGATGACAAGGACGAGCTCACATGAACCCAACCAGATAATTTGTGGGCCCCGACCCAACGAGCGAATGAACTCGGAAGAAAGTCTAAAAGAGAATAACTAGGATGAAATTTACCTAACTTAAAAAAAAAAGAAGATTCCACCCACTTAGACAAATTACCCACGTACCTTGTCTCTTTCCCTCTCCCTCTCACACACAGACACAAAGAAGAGAGAAGAAAGAGGCGGCTTTTGAATCTGACTACTCCGGAATGGGTGATAATTAATGAGAGTCATCACGGAACGACGACAAAAACAAAAAAAATAATTATATATTTTTTTTCTTTCAACCCTAGCCAGTCACACTAATAACTACGCTTTTTGGGTCCTATCTGATTAGATCTATGCTGGGTCCTAAATCATGAATTTCTTCTCAGATGGACGTGGCTTCAACGATCAAGGCCCATTTTCTCATCCTGATTTCTCCCATCAGCAAAGAAGCACCACTAATAGTAGTGATATGGCAGATGAAGTGGGTGAAAGTAACACGATTGAACGAGAACACATGTTCGACAAGGTAGTCACTCCCAGTGACGTCGGCAAGCTCAATCGGTTAGTCATCCCCAAACAGCACGCAGAAAAGTATTTTCCTCTGGATTCCTCTACCAACGAGAAAGGCCTCCTTCTCAATTTCGAAGACACGAACGGAAAGCCTTGGCGCTTCAGGTATTCCTATTGGAATAGCAGTCAAAGCTATGTAATGACCAAAGGTTGGAGCCGCTTCGTCAAGGAGAAGAAGCTCGATGCTGGGGATATTGTCTCATTTCAGCGTGGAGTCGGTGAATTGGGCAAGGATCGTCTCTTCATCGACTGGAAGCGCCGTCCAAACGCCCCCGATCATCTCCACTTCATGACTAATCATCATCTCCATAATAACTTGTACCGCTCTAATATTCAGTACCCAGCTGCTGCTTGGGATCGTCCTCTCTTTTTGCAGCCTCCTGACCAATCACATTTACAATATTCCCTGGAACCTGCACCTGGCAGCATGTCTCAGCAACAACAATCTCACGGATCCAGTCCTAATTATTACTATGACACTTGTAATTTCATCAACAGCCGTACAACCGTGGTAAATGGAAACCCTTGTCCGAGCGGATCAGTAGTTTATCTCAGATCGGGGTCAGCCCAAGTTCCACAGCAGGCTGGGTTAATGCAATTAAGAGGTCACAGTAATAGTAGTACTAGTGGCAGGGTTGTGGAGCCAGTGGTGTTCGACTCCGTACCAGTTGTTCAAGGCAAGGCAGCAGCAAAGCGATTCAGGTTGTTCGGTGTGAATATGGACTGTCCCATCTCAGACTCATGTGAAATCACGTCCTCATCTTCTTCCTTGCCTAATCCCGCAGCTACAACAACTTATTCTCATGTCCCCCAATTTTCATCATTATCATTCAGGACTTTTAACGACTATGATACCAACCGGCCGGCAGCCACCGAAGAAGAATCATTTGACAAAGGCAAGGCATCCATGTCCTTGAATTTGGATTTGGACATTTGATGTGTAAATTGAAGAGAATTAACCTAAGTGGTGGACTGGTACGGGCCATCCCGCACAAAGAAATCCCGTCCTTGAGTGTCCAAGTTAAATTTGTGTAATAATACGATTTTGAAATATTTTGCAAATACTAGTAAAATATCAGGTTATTTTATGTTTGATTTTTCAACAAGAGGAAGAATACTACATATATTTTCTATATACTTATATTCATAAAAAAAAAATATATTTCCTTATCTCTCTCGATCTAACAAACTTTGCTGTATTGATTTCCTAGCAGTGGGAATGCATAGCTAGCTCCTCACTCAGGCTAATGAATGATGGGATCCGAAGGGAATTATCAAAAGTCGTGCTTTCTTTTTCATCATTCATTCATGAATTTTTGTTTTTATTACCTTTGGTAGGTTCTTGTTCTTGTCGCTGCTTCACTGGGCACGCCCCCCAGGTACTGCGGTTGCTTCAGATCTAGCTAGCTAGCTAGCTAGCTAGCTTTTATAAAAGGTACGTACATAACATTTCATCTTGACTAACTTGGCCATCTATCATCAACTGATCATACGAGCTACCAGCTACTTCTACTAATATCTATGTATAGTTAATATCTTCATTCACTAGTCACTAGTCGTCATTCATATATATTATTCTTTTTTAAAATCTTAGTAACTTTTTCCTGTATGCCTTTTCTATTCTAAAAAAAAAAAAGAAGAAAAGAGCTAACATATCAACAACAATAACATGCCCAATAGAATCTCACTAGTTAGGTTGGAGAGAGTAGAATGTACACGGATTTTATCACTACGTCATGGTGATATATAAACTGTTTTCAAAAGAACCTAGCTTAAGCAATTCCAAAAACAAAAACAAAAAATAAACATATCAAGTCACAAAAAATAAAAACAATCAAATTTTACTGTGGCAAAAGCAAAATAACATAATAATTGAAGCACCATACACAACATATTAAAATAGAGTAATGGAAACAATAATAAATACTGATGGTTATAAAAAAACGAGTACTAGTAATAGTACGATGACAAACACCGACTACTCTACGTACGACAACACTACACTACCTACTATAACCTTCTACTCTGATACATGCCCGTTACACCCTCTTATCTAAAGTTATGTCCTCAATAATCTTGGGCTGAGTCATATCGTGTCATTCATCTTTTCTCTAATACTTTTTCAGTCTATCTCTGCCTCTCCTTGTACCCTCTAACCAACCTCTTGCACCCCATCCCCTCATCTCCTCTTCACATAATCTAACCATCTCAATCTTGCCTCTCTCATTTTGTCCACCACGGAGGCCATTCCCACCTTATTCTGAATATTTTCATTTCTAATCTTATCGCTCCTAGTATGACCACATATCTGTCGAATATGAGAGTTTTGTTTGAAAATGGTACTTCTATGTATTTGTATCTGAAATCAAATACGGGGAGGAAGGCAACAACCCCTTTTCTAAATTTTCTTCTTCCTTTAAACAATTAATTAGCTGTCTCTAACATAATTAATCCCTCCGTCTATTTTTATTTATCATGTTGTGCTTTTCGAAAGTCAGTTTGATTAATTTTCAAAGTTAAATTAGATTATATTAATTTCATATTTTAAACAAAAAAGATTAGATATTCAAAACTATATGGAAAGTAATATCAATATAATGAAAAAATACATATTAAAATGTTAGTCAAAATTTTTATAGTTTGACTTTAAAAATAGAAATCATGACAAACAGTAGTTGACAGATGGAGTATCTTTTTTTAATCTTTCCTAATAGTGCACATATATTAAAGATCTCTACGATGTATATTTACACTACTCAGGGTTTGTCATCTGATCGATTTTGAGCTTGGATATACATACAAGATTTTGCTGGTTTGATATTCCAAGTAATTAAGCATCTGTCTTAGGTTAGTCTTCTTTTATTCATTTTGTGATACAGAGCATAATTAGTATTATTCCTTTCGTTTCATCTTTGATGAGTGCATGTGGAGTTTAAGAAAAAAAGAGTTGTTGCACATATCACAAGTAAATTAAGAACTTTCAGCTTAAACATATTATATGGTATTTGTATGAATATAAGAGCATGTGAAATGTCAAGTGTAATGTTAAATAGTTTCCAAATACTGTAGGGTGTCGTTCCTTTATTGCATTGTTTCGTTCACTCCAATTTTATACCTCATAACTTCAATGTTAGCCTTAAAAATCAATTAACTACCAATCCTGAGCATGTATTTATAAATCCAAAAACATATTTGACCTTCTAATAATATAATTTCTTTTATTCTCCATATCTAGTAATTTCATAACCTTAACATCGCTATGTAAATTGGTATGGTGTTTGTAGAAAGTGTTGTTATATGTTTCTTATACACGATTAGTAATGGGAAGCGGTAATAAATATACATAATAACAAAAAGAGGGCTAAAACTGTTACCAGCATTAATTGATTGTCATTGGATTTAATGTTGCTTAAGACTTTAGAGACATTTACAAAGAATGCTAACTGTCACTAAAAATACATTTTTAGTGGCAATTAAGCTATTCTCATTAATTAATTGCCGCTAAAGATCATTTTTGATATATTGTAGCTTTCCCTGGGCCAAAAGAGAGAAATAGATTCCCAGGTAACTGAAACCAAGCTAAGTAGAAATAAAATAATACTAGCTGGCTCTTTTCATATAATAAATAAACTTAACAAACTCGGTAAGTTGTTTTCTTTTGAATAAAAGCACAAAGTTAATTGTGCTTGTTAGTGCGTGTTAACATTAATCTGGATTGAATAGTACATACTTTAAGTTGTAAATTTTTCTCATCTCTCAAAAACTTAGCTTAAATTGGATCACTCTTTTTTTTTTTTTGTCAATAGTTTCCGTGAGGATATATAAATGATGTCAAAAGGTACAAAGCACCTGACCTTTTCAAAGCATTACAAGAAAAGAATGAACAGTGTTCAATCTCCACAAATTGGATCTCTGTTGAAAGCATAACACAAATTACATATTCAGAAATGTGCATACTTTATCTGTATTTCCATTTAGGTATATTTGCATGAAGAATTGAACTTTTTTGGGCATATATATCTCTTTCTTCAATTGTGTTTGGTTCTTTGATCCAATGTTAGTTTGATAAAGGTTCCTTTCCTCGCTAGCAAACACCCAGTGCACTTTAACCCTGACCAGTGTACTGTACCGAAATAGTTATACTCTATAAATTTTTAGGCATGGTCATCCAAATTGTCATAGCTATACGCTACCTTCAAAAATGTATATAGTGAGCCCACCTTAAACATATCATGTAAATTCAACGAGAGAAGTAATTATATATAGATGGCTCTATTTATGAAGGAGAGAGAGAGAAAAGAATTTGAGGAGTAAGTCTAAAGCATTTTTCTTACACACATGTACCTTTTCGGCTAGGTTTATAATGGATTTAACTCCTCTCCATTACTTACCCTTTCTATTTCCTCAAGTATACACTTGGATTGGAAATAATGTGTCATGATTAAAAACTAAAGGTGGAAATTTTAAAAAAACAAATAGATCTTCAGCTTTAGTTTTTAATTATGACACATGACTTCCATCCAAGTGTATATTTGAGGAAATAGAGAGAATAAGTAATCCGTTTTTGACGGGGCTAGTTAAAAGTTTCTAGTTTACTGGAAGGTCATATCAATACGATGATAGAGAGATTTTGATCTCAAGTAAAAAAATTAGCCCTTTTTCTTTAGTATCATCAAGTATAAATTTATATCATATGTAAATTTATTTCCAAACTTAGTTCTATCCTTCGTCTTCAAGAGGAATTTGATCATCCTATGAAAGTGACAAGCCAGAAAGATGTTAGGTGTAGAGTGCTACTCTACTAATTAACTCATACCATCAACTTTAATTAATTACATATATACATAGATGTCTTGACTGCATCAAAAGGTGGTTTCTCATTTTAAGTGCATTCAAAAAACACCATATATGCCTATTTCTTGTTAGACTAATGATGTACACCATAACTTGTGTTTTGACATTTGTCATAATTGCATTGGCTAAAGGAAGCACAAATGCCTTCATTCTCTAACGGTCTCTCATGTACTCTGGTTTTCAACTACATCTGCAATGTTCAATCTATATTTTCTGGATGTGCAAAATTTGTTAATTATGGTCACATCAAACATTGTTGTTAATTCAAATCTCATTTTCATTTTTCTGTTTAAAGAAAAACAAGGTCTAAACTACATATATTCTTTAAGTCATTTCGTTGGTTGTACCATTGTTGATAACTTTATCTGACAAACAACTATGACATGTAGTCGTAAATAGAGAATAAAATAGGGGTTTGTGGATGACTGAGATAGCTCATCGCTATTTGTTATCTAAAAAAAAAGAGACTTGCCTAGAAAATGACGTATAAAGCCATATTTACCAAGCGTAACAAAAAACTTTAGAAAATTGCATAAATGCTGTAAATAGGCCTCTTAAGGGGTCGTTTGGTACAAAAAAAATGATAATGAAGAGATTAGTGACGCAGGGATTAGTGATGCACGGATTAGTAATGCAGAGATTAGTACTGTATGAATAATTTTTTGTCAAGTGTTTGATTCACTACTTTCCACTTAATTTTGTATTTTATTTAAAAATCTACAAAATATTTCTTTCCTATTATACTTCTGTTATTATGAGTGTTTATTTCATGTAATTAATTGGTTCAAGATAGATAATCACCGGATCGGATATATTTTTTTCAAAGAATTTTCTCTTCCATTTAATTAGTTAAATGAAATACATATATACATAAAACTCTTAATAATTTTAAGGTGTGATGTACCACTAAAAAGATCATTGATGGCACAATGTATTTCTAATTTTTTGTTGGTCAAGTATATATATTAAACTTAACATAGATTTAAGACTACTTAAATTGTCCAATACCTAATTATTATTTTTTAAAAAAAAATTGTTCAAGTGGGTAATCGACAAACTATCTTGAATAAAAAAAATTTAGAATGGTGAGCCTGAACATACTTCTTGTTTACATCCCTACTCTATTCAAATAGGGTGAAACGTCGCAGTGACTCAAAATATAATCAATTAACTTTAAATTTAAAGAACAAACAAACTTTAAAAGGAGCTGCCACCTAATTTTGAGAAAAAACTATTAAGTGATATACGAAACTATTAGATTCTCGGAATTTTGG